TGAATTCTTTTAAGTTTTGATTAACTAGAGAAATGGGGCGTCCTACAGTCGGAGTTTTGAGGATTGTTTGAAGGACTAAGTTTGCATGGAGCCATGGTGTGAAATTTTTGCAAGTTGCATCTGATACGGTAAGAGTAATAGAAGATCATAAGGCTTGTTGTAGTCCACTCTTTGATTCGAGTAATCCACAAGGTGCGATAAAGATGTTGGAATGTTAGTGCAACATGGTTAAGCTCAGGATGATGAAAATGGGCAATGTAGACCTATATGAAACAACCATGTATACACATGCTCCGGAAGAGGCCCTCCCACTAGAAGATGACTCTGCTTATCTCCACTACTATATTTTCCTGAAATTTTTATTTTTTCTTAAAAAAATAAAAAATAAAAATAAAAAATAGCAAATGGACCCAATTGACATAACCGTTACATGTTAAAATGAACAGTTGTTGTCTACTGGTTCAGATGGGTTTTAGATTCTGAAAGAGGGCTGTTGTTTGGGTAGTTTAAGAGGTTTAATTGGGTCTAAGGTCCAAATAAAACATGACCAAAGATACAGTAAAAATGAGAAGATATTCAATGGAAAAAGAAAAATAATAAGTTAATCTTAATAATTCATTTTAACTCGTGCAGTGGTCTTAAATCTGTATAAAACTAATTTTATAATTAAAAAATGTGTATATTTTAATGTATAGTTTATTCCTTGAATGAGTCAATGTTTTCAGATTCTGAAGCACAAAGTGAGGAGGGTTTTAAAAACAAAAATTGGATGTAATTATGGACTCCTGCTTCACAATATTTTTAGTTAGTTTTGTAAGAGTAAATTAAAATTAGTTATGATGTGGGTGGCCCCTCCCTTGGTTCAGCTTTCTCAGCAATCCTAATGGATCCACCGCCCCCATACGGTTGCAACTCTACTTACCAGCAACATGTGCTTTCATCCCATCTTCATTTCCCTTTTCCTTTTATTTGTAATAAAAACAAACAAACAAACTTCACGCTTAATATTTTAACGATCATTTTTTTTATTTTGATCATTCAATTATTTTTTTAAATATTATTCATAACCTTAAGTTTTAATTTTATTTTAATTATTTATGATTAAAAAAATTAACAGAATAGCTGACGTGATATTTTTTTAAAAAAATTAATGATGATGAATTTTATGGTGACACGTCAATATCATTGTTACTTTTTAATGAATTATCAAATTGAAATCAAAATTAAACATTATATCTGGTTGCCTAACGTTACAAATATTACTACTTTATGGGCACGGGATGTAACAGTTTGTGACCACTTTATGGATACGGAATGTAACAGTCATTAGATTTCTCCGTTAAGTGACACATGTCATAATTTAGTAATTTTTGATATTTATATATGTTTTTAAAATATTAAAATTTTATTTTATTTATAAAAAACACTAATTTCTTTTAAATTACAAAAAAAAACCTCAAAATTCCTAAAATCCCCAAATCCTAACACTAACCCGCTGCCGCAGTACTTTCCAGCCACGACCACCGCCACCTACATAATCTATGTCATCATCCTAGTTATACGTCGCCATAGTTTTCACCAATTGGCCGTTGGAATCGTGTGAGATCGCAATTTTCATCCTAAGGTATGCAGGGTATAAAACGTTGATTCATCGTCGATCGACCATCGATTGGTCACAATTTCATAGAGGTATTGGTCGTCTATAGGAGGTGATGTCGAGTGGAGTTTCGACGACGGCATAGGGCGGCGGGCGGCGGGGGTTTAGGGGTTGAAATAAAAATTTTTAAAGTTTTGAGGATATTTTGAAATTTATATATTTTCTTTTTAAAAAATATATAATTTTTATTTTTTAAATTTTATAAAAAAAGTTTTAAAATTATCAGATTTTGATGCGTATCACTTAAAGGAGAAAATTAATGCCATTGACGGCCCTGATACCTAAATAATAACGTTTGTAACGTTAGGTACCTAAATGAGTAAAAAATATTGTAAACACCTATTCGAAAAAAATAGTATAATCTAAACACTTATTTGAGAATTAAGTCAAAATTTTACCCAATATACAAAAAGTTAGAGGAGTGACCACAGTCACAGGATCTAAAAGATATTGATTCTTGAATCAAGTTTATCACAATTCCCCAAATAAATAAATAATTGAAGGCAACTCTTGAATATATTTAATTCTTGTTTTATTAATAGAAGAAAAATAAAATAAAATTGGTGAGAACTTGAAAGATGACGAAGGATCATTTGGATCTGAGTTGTTAGATTCGATTCTCAACCCCACAATGATTGTAGCCGTTAATTGGCCATGTGAGGAGTGTTGTTGGGAAATCGGACGGTCCAGATAAACTGGTTGAAATATGGTACACATTAAATGTACTTGTATTTATCATTTTTTTAATATCTCTCATCAGTTTTTTATTTGAAATTTTCTAAATAAATAAATATAGTACAGACTGGAAGATGATACATTGGAGGGGTCATGTATAAATGAAAAGATCAAACGGATTTTTTCCAGTAATATTTATCAGAACTATTTAAAAACAGCAATTATTAGAATAATTGAATTATATATTTTTATTAAAATAAAAAATGGAATGGTATCAAAAGTAAAATTCATGTCTCCCATCCTTATCATGGAAAAGAAAAATATAACATCATCACATACTTGCTTATAGAAACTCTCTTTTTTTCTTCAACAATTTTATCTAATTTCATTTTTTTTAAAAGGAAAAATATAATTTTTTAATCTATTTATTTTAATTATCATAAAAATGATAAAACTTGGATTTATCTATTTTGATACCAAATTTGTTTGGTATAAAAAAACAATTTAATTTACAATTGACTCGATTTTGAATAAAATTCCAACAAATAATTTGAGCATAAAATAATTACTGTTAGAAAACCATCCGCGTTTCAAAGTTGCTTTTTGTTAGAAAAGATGTCAATGTCACGGCTCATGTTCTTGTAAATTGGGCACTTAATTGTTTTCCCCCAAATTGATTTATTTCCAACATGCCACTCTGTATTCAGAACTAGGCTTAATACCTAAATAAGGGTTTAAATTATACCCTTTGTCTTGAATAGGTGTTTACAGTGATTTTTAGACTATTCAATTTTTTAAGGTTATAAATGTTATTATTTTAGGTGTTCAGACCATTAACAGCGTTAATTTTTTCTATTAAATGACACATGTCACAATCTAATAATTTTAAAATATATATATAATTTAAAAAATAAAATTATATTTTTTAAAAAATAACACATAAATTTTAAAATAACCCCAAAACTTTGAAAACCTTATTTCAACCCCTAAACCCATGCCGACCGTCGCCCTTTGTCGTCGACGAAGCTCCACCCGACCTTACTTCCTCCCGACGACCAAAACTTCTATAAAATCGTGACCAATCGACGTTTTATACCCCGCGAACCCTAGGATGAAAATCGCGATATCACGTGATTCCAATGGTCAATCGACGACAACTATGGCGGCGTATAACTATGATGATGGCGTAGACTATGTTGGCAGCGGTGGTCGTGGCCGGAAAGTGCGGCGACGGGGGTTAGTGTTAAGATTTGGGGATTTTGAGGGTTTTTTTTAATTTAAAAGAAATTAAGGTTTTTTTATAAATATAATAAAATTTTAATATTTTTTAAAAATATAAATATCAAAATTACTAGATTGTAATACGTTTCACTTAATGGGAAAAACTAAGGGATGTTACATCCTGAGCCCCTAAAGTAGTCACGTTTGTAACGTTAAGCACTTGGATGAGCTAAAAAATATTGTAGATACCAATTTAGATAAAAAGGTATAGTTTGGGAACTTATTTGGGTATTAAGCCTAAAATTTTAGTTGAATCCATGAAATCTAATTATATATTTTAATTAAAGCAACCGATTGCAATAATTTAAATTGATTTAGTTAATAATAAAAATACAGTTGGTTGGTGATTAATGTCTTCGAGAGATCAATTGGGTTTTTAATGTTGTTCTTTTTATTTTTGGTTGGAATCAATCCGATTGGTGTGCTCTAACTTCTATCATGGATTTTCGCCCATCTATTCAGGTATGCATTTATTATACAACATGGATGTAATTGTTGGAGGGCCAAGAGGGTGATCGTTTGATCGAGTTGAGTTGAGTCGAGTAAGAAATTTTAAGTTATTCGAGTTGACGAGTCTTATTGTAAAACTCAAACTTTATTTGAAATTTTTTCGAGTCAAATCGAGTTGTTTGGGTTTATATTTTAATTTAATTGTAAATATTTATAATATTATGATACTATTTGATTCTAATTTAAACGATTTTCTATAATCATATACAATACACATATATTTTTTCATATATGATATATATTTGAGTTACTATTCGAGTTATTCGAGTTCTATTTTGTATCTCGACTCGAATTTGAAATTTTCTCGAGTTGAACCGAGTTTAGGAAATTACGACTCGAAGTCAATTTGAGTCGAGTAAAATCGAAAAAATCAATTGTTTGAATCGAACCGAATTTTATTCACCCCACCATAAAATACCATAAACAACTCATCATATCATATCCCACTAACTTTTAGAAAGAAAGAAAAAAAAGAATAATGTGTATAATATAATTGAGGAGACAACTGTTACAAGGGATATAGAATTGTAGGGTGCATGTGAATCACCATAGCAAGCCAAGCTCATCTAATTTATATAATATAATTGAGGAGACAACTGTTACAAGGGATATAGAATTGTAGGGTGCATGTGAATCACCATAGCAAACCAAGCTCATCTAATTTATTATTTGTCTCCAAAAACCCAAATATAGAAATTAATGTAGATATAAGCATTTGCGAATCCTAATACATGTTTTAAGTGTTATTATTTTATATGCAACTGCATTGCTGGGCCTGTTCTAGGCATCTTTCACTGAACTCCAATCACATTATCTAATAACTCGACTCCATCGAGTGCTCATCCTTATCTAAAGCTCAAGAATGTCCATGGAGTGCTCATCCTTGTCTAAAACTCAAGAATTCACTATAGAATCTTAAATTCTTCTCCTTATTTTTGCAGTATATACTGATGAGGAATATTTTGAGAGCGAGATCAACTTCTTTCTATTGTCAAAATCTGTATTTGGCTCAACTTAATGTTTCAAGAGATTTTTTTGCCCCCCTTTTTCTCTTGTAAAAGCCAAATTTCCCTTTTCTTTTGCTCTTTTTCTTCTTCAGCTGGTTTAGCTACTGAAAAGCTGCTGTGATTCTTCATAGTTTGGTAGCTCTTTGAAGAATCTGCAACAGGTCACAATATGCGCTTCAGTTCTCTTGTCAACCCTTTTTTTTCTTTTCTGATGCATGAATTCGTTGCAAGATCTATAGACTAAAAGAGATGAATAACAGATTAATATTAAAACCATAAAACATCAAGTTTGACTTTTGATAGCAAAGAATTAGGATGTTCAAGTGTGTTTTGATTTGATTTTCTTGTTAACAAGGTGATTATCTTGTAATACTTACCCTTTAATATGGTGATTATGATCCTACTATTCTAGTGGAAAAAATTACTATCAGTTTTCATATTTGTATAACTTGATTGTTTTTCATGGATGCTCATGGATTTGTAGTGAATTATTGTTTTTTTTTAAATGCGTGGTTATAAAAATTAGGTTAATCGTATGTGATCGAAAATTCAGAATATTTAACAAAGAAAAGTGATGAAATAAGAGCAAACAAAGAAAGGCATTGAAGCCACATGTGGTATATAATGTACTCGTAGACAAAGCTGCATAATGAAAGATATTTTGGATGAAAGATTATGAATGGTGGCCCAGAAAACATGTGAACAAGCAGACAAATTATACTAAAAAGTGGTTGATGTTTTATCATACTTTCACATTAATTCATGCACTCCTTTCCTCTGCTCAGCTTTCTTTTCTTACTTTCTCTTTTGGGGCAATTTTGCAGGTGGGAATAGTGAAAGGTGATTCTGATTATCAGAGTTGTTATGTGATCTACCTTTTTTCTGTAAATTTCTTGGGACGAAAGGGATCATTTCTGTTTATTCTATATATTCTTTTTCTTGGGATATTGTTCAACGGATATTAAACTCCCAATGGAGAATCTTCTTAGGCCGTACGATAAGGAGTATATCAGGACAGCAATGTTAAAACATGAAGAAACATTCAAACACCAGGTATGTACTGTGTACGTATACACACACATATATATTATTGTTTTTATAACTCTAGTTGTTCTAAGCTTGAAGTGATGTTTTCTTTTTCAGCTGTACGAGCTGCATCGTCTATATCGAATCCAGGAGACACTGATGAGAAGCACTGAAAGAAGTAGACCTAATGGAAGCTTCAGCATGAAGAATAATTATCACCACGGGAATATCAGTATGCATCACAATTCAAGAACGGGACTTGACTTGGAACATCCGGCGGCTGAAGCTGATCATCAGGGATACAATGTTGCAGAATCCGACATAGAAGAGAGCGAGATCGAGCTGACTTTAGGTCCCACAGAGTACTCGCCGAGGAAGAAACATGGGACTCCGCGAACTTCGGATTCTGGTCCAAGCTTCTCTTCTTCTTCAACTGAATCCAGTCATATGAAGAAGACGAGCACAACAAGAGAAGATTTTAGTGGCAATGATGATCGGATGGGACTTTTCCAGGTCACTGGAAGGACACTAAGGTATCAAAATGGAAGTAAAAACAACAATCAGCTTGGAGAACATTTAAGACAAGATAGATTAAAATCACCTCCTTGGCTTTTTCAAGTCCTAAGTATGAATGCGACTTGAAAAAAAGAAGGAAAATGAAACTATTTTCCAAGTCGATATGATAAGATTTTAGACTGTTTCTTATTGACTAATTCCTGTGATTGATGTTTCTTCCTCGGCGTTTCTGCTTAGTTTTTCTTTAGCAATTGGAGTATTTTGTAAAGATCACTGGTGTCCTCCCTTGAGAAAACCATGTAATTTGTTGAGCTCAGCTTTCAAATCAGTCCAGTTATAACCTGTTTCAGTTCAAAATCTATTGTTTGTGTTGAAAATGGAAGATTCAAAAGTTAAAAAGGGATTTCCGGAATCTTTCTTGAACAGGTATGGTGTTCATTACTCCAGATTGAGAATAAGATTGAAAACATAGTTCCGAGATTTGCTACATGGTTTCTCTGGCAATATATTAGTTGATTGACATTGTAGCGCCTTAAATTTCCCGTCAATCAAAATGTACCATAGACTGACAACGTCGACCAGTGAGATTGAATTTTAGGTGTATGAAAGTTAGTCTATGTCTCGGTATTGTGATTGTATAATAATGCAACAAATAAGAGTTCAATTACATTAAACTGAAGTACAAAAAACATGTTATATAGGGAAGCAAGTTCAAAGGGTCAGGCCGTGGAATCAGGCCTTGTGAAGTAATACTTCGTCTAAGTATTGATACTTAAGTACGATACCTATAAGTATCAATATCTTTTGGGTAGATGAGTTGCTCGTTGTTGATTCGAATATATTTTTAAGTTAAATAAAAATCTGGATAGTTAGATCAATTAAGATGAGCTATAAAACAAATCAGGTTCGATCAAACAAGTTAGAGTCGAAATAAATCCAAGTTAGTCAAACTTAAAGAGTATCAGATTAATTTGTTTGGGTTTCAACGAAATTAGGCCTTTGGTAGACAGGCTTATCAACCTAAGCAGTGTTAGACTATGGTTAGAGTTCAGGGGCAACAGGCCTTATATTGACTATGGGTATTAGCACAAACAGATGCAGAATGGGTCATTGGATCCCAGATGCGATGGATTGTTAACTGACAGAATAATAATTAGGTTGATTGAGAAGCGACATGGTGGATAATGCTTCGCAGACAACGGGCCCATGTAGACTCATTCATTATGAAAAACTTAGGTTTAGGATTAGGCCTTGATTAACTGGGCTCAATCATAAGGCCTATGGTTGATCCTTCTAAGCAGAAAGAATAGGTTTGCATAAAGGAAATCGAAAAGTCATCAATGATGTTTAGATGACGACAGTGCTGCCTTCAGTGCGTGTTACGCATGTAGGTGTCGAAAAAGAAAATAAAAAGGGTGAAAGGGAAATGAAGGAAAAAACGAAAGAAAGAAGGAGTACTATCGTTTGAGTTCTTAACCATGTTTTTGAAAATGAAAGATGTTACCGATGACGACGATGACGATATTAAATTAGATGATATCTGTTGATCAAAGAAAAAATAAGAGGAAGAAAGAGAAATGGTTGATCATCAGTTACTTAAGGGGGAAAATGACAAAATACCTAAGATTTTAGATAAAATATAATATTCATAGCCTAGAAAATGAGTAAATTGCAAGACGTAACCTTGCAAAACTCCAGGTTTTATAAATTAGGCATGTCACTTGAACCCTATGACTCCTAACTAGTTTACTTGGTTAATTGAAACATTATAAATCTTTAACCATTTAATATGACTTTAATAGTGATATTTTCATGATTCATGAACAATTCACACTTTCATAAATGCAATCTCTATGCTCATATTTTCGCATGAGCATTTCATATATGTACGTAATATGATACATGCAAGACTTTTAACACCTTAAGAGAATGAAGATTCATACATTGCCATAATTATTCAACATAATAATTAGATGACTTGTCACAAATTCCCCTATCATCGTTTAACAAGAAAGGCAACATATAATGTTCTCACAAAAATGATCACACGAGGTATATAAACATAATTACCAATATTGCATCATCAAATGTGGTCAAATCAAATCTAACTAGAAAAGTAAAGGAAAAGAAAAGGAAAGTCAACTAAAAGTCAATAATTCTATGTCAACTCCTGGGTCGGATCAAACATGATCAAATAGTTGGATCAAACAGTTTAAGTCAAATTTTGTCCAAGAAAACAAAATCAGCGTCAATTGGATCAGATAAGGTCATGAGTATCTAGGTCAATTAGAAAGAGTCAGGCTCTATTGAATCGAGTTAGATCCAAGTCTAATTAGACGAAATGGGTTAAGATAAAAGTTTGGGTCAGAGTAAAACTTTGACTTTGTACATAACCTCACATAGAATGGGCAAGAGCCCAAACAATCAGATGAGTGTAGGCTTGGTACTTAGTCAAAAGAGACTATGGGCATTTAGCCCAAACAAACATAGGCAGATAGATGACTAGCTACTACAGTGGTTCAAACATCGAGTCACACATGAGTTGACTTGCTTGCTGACTTCGAGCTTATATCAATGGACCAGCATTTGAGTTAATCAAGTGGTTAAGGAGGTGGGTTGGCTGATAGAACTGTTTGTTTAGGGTTAGAAACTTTAGACAAAAGTTAAGGTTGACAAATGAGGCAGTCGATGATGAAAATAACGGTCGATCACACATTGGTGAATGAGAAGCACGACTAACGGAAAAAGAAAAGAAAGAAAACAAAAAGAAAATGATGATAAGGAGATTAAAACAATAAAAAAAAAACACAATATTTATCTTTTATTTCTATACAGTAGTTGATTCATTGCATGTTAAGGTAAGATACATGCTCATCTTAAAATTTTGTTTATACTTATTTTATATTATTAATATGTATAATCACTCTCTCAAAAAGATTTTTGTACCTCCGCACTACTTTTATACATTTTTTTTTTCTTTTGGAATACAAGAGAGACAATAGTAAGTGCTACTGCTAAGACAAAGCAACAGCAGTTCTGGCATCCTCATAGAGCATGTCCCGAATCTCCAGTGGTGGTTCCATCGACCACCTTATTGCATTTTCGCGACACATATCGAAAACGTAGATTCTATTTCCGTTGTATCAAGCATACGCGATATCATCTATGAAGTCCCCCCGGTCCGGATCCTCGTTGAAGCAGCAACAAAGCCTCTTTACTATCGGACTATCCTCTGTAGATTCAACTCCCAAACCATGCTTAAACCAACATAAATACCCCATAGTTCCGCATCAAGAACCGTTAATAACATTATCTTCAACCTATCTCACTCTAATTAAATTTACATTGCCAACATCAACACATGCTCCCAACATATTATTTCCAATACCCTTCCACCACTTATTTCTAATACTGACAACAATATTCACAAAACATCAACACATTTAATTATCTTATTCCAGTATATATTTTCTAAATTGAGGTTACTAAGCAAAAAAGGTTATAAATGAAACTTTTATGAAACGATTTGATAAGAACCCTCAACCTATCATATTCAAACTAAAAGGAAAATGTCAAATAGAGGAGTAAGCAATCAGAAACACAAAAATAAACTCACACACACATTCTTAAAAGAAAAGTAATAAACTACAAGCTAGGTAGTAATCAAATGCTAGCAAAATTAGAATAAACTTAGATACCAATTAATACAAGAAAATATAAATTATAATTTCACGAAGAAAAAAAGAGCTTCAAGATCGCAACCAAGCTGTGGCAAATACAACATTATGTCCTTTCCAAGTAAGTACAAGATCATCTTCTTCTTTCTTCAATCCCCATCCAGCTGCATGTTCATCAAGCATTGTTTTCACTTCGGAGATCGCATTTTCACCGAAGTTAACCCCTCGAAACCCTGCGTTTCGCATCCGCTGCAACCACCGGCTCTTTGGTATAAGCCTCTCGACCCTTTGTAGACCTTCATGAGCTATCACATTCTCTATCTTCCAACAAATGTCAGCCTTGTACCACTGCCTTTACTTGTCCCCTTGTGGAAGAATCGTGTCCACCGTATCGTCGGCTATCCATAGATAATTGAAAGCAGACCTTAATCTACACACCAAATTATTCGATGTCAAGTCCGCATCCTCATCGACTAGTACAACAATTGTTGGGTCTAACACTCGAAGCGCCTTGAGAAACATGGTTCGAAGAGATTGAGTGGAAGATGATTCAAATGAATAAGGGTTTGAGTTTATAACAAAAAGAGGAGACAAAGTTTCTTCTGTTATATAATGCAACATCATATGACAGTTTATAACCAGAACCTCACCGCTTTCAGCATATACTAAATGTTGAACTTGAAGCTGCTCGAACAAAGAAAAGAATCCATCGGCGTAGCTCGAAGGTATCGCTCTGAATTCCGGTATGACGTTGCGGGACCTAGCGAAGTTAACCAATCTGGAGCCTAACTCTTCGTATGAAAGATCAATCATTGGTGAGACAACTTCAGTTGCGCCACCGGCAACTATATGTAGGGATTTGCATGTAATGTATCAAACTTAAATCAACTATATGAATAACTGAATACCCTTCAACAGCTTCTAGTATCGCTGCATTCGCTGCTGTGAAACCCAACCGATGCCATGAGATTAAGTCCATTGCTGCAATGAGCGTTGGCCATTGCTGCAAGCATTTTGCAGGTGCCGCTTTTGGCTGCTCGGACGATAAGAGCTCGAAGGAAAGCACACGTCAAGCGCTGGTTGGAATAACCATCTGGTGGTGCAATGTTGTTGAGAACCCATAGAATTTGCTGCGCTAGAGTGGCATCGTTGCTTTCTATAGCGTTTGCGCAGTGCACCAAAAGTTGTTCCATGCAATTGGCATCACCAAAGCTGCCTAAACCCTTTGAAGTAGGGAATCCAGGCCATGACCGAGCCCGATGAATATTGTTTTTGTTCACTGTGGGGATTGAAAATGAATCACTGAAAGGATGTAATTTCAGTGAATTGCAACATGGAGAGAGTGAATACAAAGTTAAGAGTTGAGCAAATAAGAATCAGAAATCAGAAGAGAGCAGAAAGATAGAAAAAGACCAGATTTACAGTAGGTACTTTGTCATAGGGAAACGATCCACACGGTAATGGGTGAAAAAACCAGCAATTTATAATACAGTTAGGGAGAATTCCGCAAATGTATCAGGGAAAATTGACGGTTCTGCTTTTATGAGAATCTTATTTTCATCTAACGAAGGAAAACCAAAAGGGACTGATCAAAGAGGAGTAAACAAGTCCCATCTCCAAAAGAAAAACAAGTCAAATTGGGCAGAAGAGACCAGCCTTTTCAGTTGCTAAAGATAGGGGCTGCAAGAAACCAGATACCTAGCAACCTTTTTCATGACTACGAAAGGCTATAATGCCCCTATTCTTAACTGCATTTTGTCCCCCCCCCCCCAAATATAATCAAAGAAAGATAGATGGAGAAACAGAAGAATTGAAAGAGAATGTGAGAAAGGCAAGGAAGATGGAGAGGAAAGGGTGTGTGCTGCCGTTTCTATTGCATGATACTATTATTATTTGAATGGTTTTTACGTGGGAGAGAATGTAATAGGCTGCAGTAAGGGGTCCCTCAAAAGACTCATGGCAGCTAAAATCTTTGCATTTTCTGATGAGACAAATTCAATAAAGGATTGGTGACTATCTAACACGTGTTGATGTATTTTATATCATCTATTTACTTATATATTTATCTATATGTAGGTATAAACTTTAAGTTAATTAGGGTAAATTATATGTTTAGTATTTCAATTATTATTGTTAATTTATTTTGATTATCTAATTATTTTTTAAAATCATACTTAATATTTAGTTTTGATTTTATTTTAATCACTTATCATTAAAAAAAATTAACATTATTATTATGTCATTATAAGACAATATCACATATCATTCAAAAAATAAAAAAATGACATCTCAATAGTTGTATGAAGTAATCTGCATTTGTTTCTTTTTTTTTCTTGTATGTTTTGGTCCAATAAAGGAAGGATTGGAAGACCAAAAATAAATTCCACCCTTTAGTTAAAACATAATATAGGTTTAAGTTGACATTTAAGTTGTTAAATTATACACTTTTAGATTGATTTTTTTTAAAAAAATATTTTTTTATTAATTTAAAAATAATAATTTTTGTTACCAAAAAAATGTAAATATTTGATATTTCATATATATTGTTAGTAAAAAAAATAAGGGCATAATGACGAAAATAGTCAAAATATCTTATTAAATAGTCATTTTGACTTTTATTGATAAATAAAATGAGGTGGTTTTGATATTTAATTTAAAATCAATATACTTGAGTGAAAAAGTCTTTTTCAAATGGAATCTCGCAGTGCGTCTACTAAGCCTTTATATTCTTTAAAATTGAACTTTGTGAATCCAAGAGTTGAATTTTCAAACCAAACGTATTGAAGCCCTGAACCTGACGGTTTTTAATTCGACTCGATCGGGTTGAGTCGGTCGAATTTTTTAAATATGACGTTTGGGTTTAGAGTGAAAAATATCCGACTCGAAAAAATTATAATTTTACCTTATATATTTAAGAATAATTATAATAATACCCCTTTATATATAATTTTTTTTTTCAATTAAATCATTGTTTTTATTGAATAAAAATAATATTTTTATTATTTTAGATCGGGTCGAGTTTTTAAGTTATATATAAAATTGAGTTCGGGTCGAATTTCGGATGAAGGATTCTTTGATCTCAAATCGAATCGGATGGATCAAAAACCTGACCCATGCCCATCCCTAATTGAAACACCTAGAAATCAGCAATTTAATTTTCAAACCAGAAATGAATATGTCTTGTTCGACTACAAGTCGTTGTCCCCAATATTAATGGGATTCATTTGAAGAATTTAATTGGATTGGACCCATAATTTTCTTTTCTCTATTACTCCTAATAAATCACGAAATTAATAAAAAGGTTTTTTTAACATTTTTTACTCCTAATTTATTTTAAAAATATTTTTTTATTCCTTTTAATTCTCAAATTATTGTATTTTTCATTAAATTTATCGAACCCGTCAAGTAATCTCAGTAACGAAAGAGAAAGTTATTCTCCATCGAGCAGCTGCATTTGTAGAGTATGTGTGCGTTATGAATTGATTAAAAAAATTTAAATAACTATTATCTCATAATCACCTCATACTATTAAAAAAGAATAATAAATTTCATTAAGTTGATGTTAAATATATTTTTTCAACGATTGTACATAAAATATTTAAAAGTAGAGAAATTACGTCAGATGCTTTAGATGTAATATTGTCCATTTCATTAAACTTTCAAATACTTCAATTATAATATCAGAAGTTTGAATTAAAATCCTCCAAAAAGAAAAGCATAGTAAATATAGAAGAGAAGCCCCATCTCCATTCGTATGGTTGAAATTCGGATCCATCAGATATTAAACCCATTGAAATCCAACTGCCAAGTATTTTCAACAAATTTCTTTTTCGTTTTTCTACTGTGTTTATTTTTTTTATGTAATTTATTTTTTAAAAGAAGCAGTTAATTTTATTATTTAGAGAGATGGTGACATGAATCGTGAGTGTTAAACACGGCAATAACATCTATCTCATCAAAATAAGTCAAAAAACCAGACCTTAAAGTCAAGCAAGCCGAAAAAAGAAAATAGATTTTTCTGATGAAAGACAAACTTTGAAATCAATCAATTTGTTATTAGAAAAATGAAAGTTTGATAGTGTAAATTCACAAGCAGAATGGCCAAAGCATAAGAAGATTGGCAGTGTGAAATTTTTTAAAAAGGAAGAAGATTTGGATGCCTACGCGTTTGTTGGTAAAAGAATGGGATTCTATTCTCCGACTCAGTATGTAGCCGATTGCCGAGCTGATAACCAATGGATAAGTTTTCCCAACATATACGTCAAGGCACTTTTCTTTCCTTATTTTATTTGCTTAACCGTTTGCTTTGAACCATTCTTGTTTTCAACCGTCCCTCTCTCCTGCTTCTAACGCCCAACACACGTATATACCTAAGATCAACAAACTGAAAGAAATCCATTTTTTTATTTACTGGATTCAAGTTCCGCTTACATTCTCAGAGCATGTTGGAGATGTGCACAAGGCCTTTGGAGATGTGTTTTGGAGGAGGTGGTCGTGCTGATGAGCTGTTGTGGCATATGGATTTGAAGCCCTACGTTTCAGGGGACTATTCCATAGCAGTTGTTCAAGCCAATTCCTCTTTGGAAGATCAAGGTCAGGTCTTCACTTCCCCTTCCGCCACTTACGTCGGCGTTTACGACGGTCATGGCGGACCCGAAGCTTCCCGTTTCATCTCCCAACATTTGTTTCCTTTCCTTCATAGTAAGTTCTTGTTTCTTCTCTTCCCTTCCAACTTTGCAGATTGAATCAAAAGAAATAAATTTTGGGTTACTTATGTACAGAAACACAACTTCATTTCCCCCCCTTTTTTGTTGCTAGAGTTTGCATCAGAGCATGGAGGTTTATCAGCAGAAGTAATAAAGAAGGCCTTTGATGCTACCGAGGAGGAGTTTTTGCACTTAGTGAAGCGATCATGCCCAGCCAGGCCGCAAATTGCTTCTGTTGGTTCTTGTTGTCTTGTTGGGACAATTGCTAATGATGTTCTATATGTGGCTAATCTTGGAGATTCAAGGGCGGTGCTTGGCCGGAGAGCGTCCCCAAATGGGCCCAATAATCAAGTGGTGGCTGAACGGTTGTCGACGGATCATAATGTCGCCGTTGAAGAGGTAAGGAAGGAGGTTGTGGCACTCCATCCCGATGATTCTCACATCGTGGTGTATAACCACGGAGTTTGGCGAATTAAGGGAATAATTCAGGTACCAAATTCAACTCCATATTATTTTTTCTTAGAGGTCCCGATTCTAACAGTTACCTCTATAGGGGTTTGTGTGATTTCGATGGTCTATTTTATATTATTAATTGTTTGTGCTTTCTTGGCCTAATTTTCATATCATGTAGTTTTCAAAATAGTGAATAGAAAAGGTATATGAATCACAACCTATAATGCATACGACAAGTGGTGGATGGACATTTATATCATATGCATGTTGCTTGTGACTTTCAATGCTGAGATTTTGCCATACGCCATGTGTCAGAAATAAATTTCATCTCATGAACTTCATCAAAAAGATTTATCAGTTTTGGGACCATTCTCATATAAGTAAATAAGTCACATGGTGTCTCTTACTTCTTTGCAACTTTATGACTGTAAATGTGATTAGTCATCACTGGAAACTTGCAGCATGTGATTTAGGCACACTTTTATCTATAACTTTGTGATCCGTTCCAGGTCTCGAGATCGATCGGAGATATGTACCTGAAGAAACCCGAGTTCATTCAGCACTTCGGGTTACCGATTCCTTTAAAAAGGCCTGTAATGACAGCTGATCCCTCTATAGTAATTCGGAAGTTGAAGCCTCAAGATTTGTTCTTGATTTTTGCATCTGATGGACTTTGGGAGCAGCTAAGTGATCAGGAAGCTTGTGATATTGTTCTGAAAAATCCTAGAGTTGTAAGGCTTCCCATCATAATAAATAGTTTCATGTTCTGTTTTATGAATTGTACATGATTTATCACTCTCAATGTTAATAAATAGTGGCTCATATCACAGGGAATAGCAAAGAGACTGGTACGAGCTGCGGTGCAGGAGGCGGCGAAGAAAAGAGAAATGCGATACGATGACATCAGAAGGATTGAGAAAGGAGTAAGACGCCATTTCCACGACGATATCACTGTTATAGTCATATACTTGGATCATCCGTCGAGTTCTTCGAATGGTAGATTCAAGGACGAGGATTTTATCGACTACACTGGTGCCCCTGTCGACATCTTCTCGTTCAATGCCGATGAAGCAGATGAGTAGCTTAGCTTTCATTCACCCATGTGTTAACATCACAGACCAGGACAATGGAGTAGTGAATGAACAAAAATAATGCTTATGTGAGGTTGGTGTATATAGTTGTCTTTCAGAGGTTGCCAATTTGAAGCTGCTGCTTAGTTGCCTGGTTGGTTTTTTTTTTGGTCCCCTCATTTGTAGAAATTTACCTATGCATACAATTGTAGTTCTGTTTTGTCCTAGAAGATACTCTCAACAATTTATTCTATTTATAAGATAAAAAGTATACATAAATTAATGGAGGAAGTTGCAGATCCTGCTTCTTTATGTGAACAGATTGGAGATTTTTCTCATGCAAATGCAATTCCTTTGACTCCCCTGTCTCCTTGGGTCATCATCTCCGAATCTTTGACCAGGCCTACCTCTTCAGATTTCGGGAACATTGGACCCGCGATTAGGGAGGTTAAAAGTCTTTCAAACCCTCCACTTTTGACACCCCCAAATTTATACCAACGATTTTCCAGTTTTGGGAATTTTTTTTTGGGATAAGCATATTTTATTATCCAAATAAGAAGTACAACAAAACAAGTTTCAAATGGGAGTATAAACGCTATTAACAACAACAAAAATGTTAATCCCAATAAACAATAATTACAAAGATTAATACTAACCATATCAATTCTATTAAGATTTCTATCACTAAGTTTGATTCGGACAAAGTCTTTTATAATCTTTAGAACTTGATCAATCAATCTTGACTCTCCTCTGAATATTCTTCTGTTCCTTTCTTCCCATATCGAATAAATATAAGTAGTCCATGCTATTTTCAATATGATGATAAGAAGGGATTTACCCTTCCATTCAAGAGCAGCCCAATTAATTATTGATTCCCAAGTGCTGTGCATGTTACTCAAAGAATAAAGACTCAAGATAGAATTTCACAGTGAAGTAGCATATGTGCAGTGCACAAACAGATGGTTTCTGGTTTCAGGAGACTCATTACATAAGATACATAACTCTTCAGAAGCAATACCCATTCTAGTAAGTTTATCCTGTATTGGAAGTCTGTCAAGAATGGTCATCCATGAGATAATACTGAGTTTAGGAATATATAGAGGAAACCATATTATTCTGTGCCAAGGAACCTTAGTTTTGTGAACTCTCAGTTCCTCCCATAAATCTCTTGTCCTCGATAAACCAGAATTAAGAAGGGGAAGAGCTTCACTCCTTAGTCTGATAAGTTCCCTAAAACACCAGCTACAAGATGAACATTCATTAATATCAATGAATTTAGGAAAAACTGCTATGGTCAATGTGATATAATTATTAAAATATTTTTATATTATTTTCATATTTTTATTATTATTGTACATCTTCAGTAAATTCATGATTTTGTTGTCAATCCTCTATCTATTGAGATCTCTAAAGTTCCTGAAAACTTTCAGAATTTCATATCCTCCAAATAACTATAGTCTCCATTATCAATCACATCACTAACTATAGTCTATAAATATGTGTTGTAACACCCCAATTTAGGGGCTAAAATTAAGAAATTATAAAGTGGTGGATTTAATTTGGTATTTTGAAAGAAACAGTGGGTTAAATTGTAAACTTTTAAAGTTGATAGACCATTTTAAGAAGTGTAGGAAATTCAGTGGCTAAACCCATGATTTATCCATTTTTATTTTGGAGAAAATTATAAATCTCTCCCCGTATGTTTTCTGGAAAAAAATTTCCAGATTTTCCTCTTCATCAACCCCTCTTTGAACTCCGATCTACTCGCCGTCTGACCTCTGATCGACGAGCCGAAACCACCATCGTGTTCGTTGTCAACCGAGGAACAAAACCCATCAAACCTTTCGTCATAAATCATCGTCGTTCGTCATGAATCGTCGCCGTTCGTCATTAATTTCAGTCGAAAGTATAATCGGTAATAACCCGATTTCAGTTGGTTTTTTCATCGATTCACGACGATCCGAGCATCCGTTTACGACACCTCCCGCACCATCGTGTTTCTTGCATCGTTCCGAGTCCGCCGGTGTCATCCTTGGTCTCCGACGACGGCGGCGCGTGAGGAGGTGAAGCGGTCAAAGTTTCTGATTCGTTGAAATCGAGCTCTCCGCCGTTCAAAAATTTGAACCGAGCTTTGTAAGTATCTCGAAATCGCTTAAAATAATTTTTAGGAATTTTTTCGAGAATTTATCATTGTTCACGCGACGCCACTGCGTATGGGGAAGAAAAAATGACCGGTTTGACCGGTCATAACCCGACCCGTTTACCCGACCTGACCCATTGACCCAACCCGTTGACCCCGTTGACCACTGTTGACCAAAACTTTGACCGGACATTAAACGACCTTTGACTTTGACCGAGTATACCTATCATGACATTTTTCGACGTTCCAAATGCGATTCTGCAGTCCGTTTTTCGAAATTCAGACCCGAATGCTTCGAAATTGGCAGTCAAACCCGTTGACTTTGATTTTGACCAAAAATTTCAAATTTTTGAAAAGTCATATTTTGTGCTTTCGACGTCCTAAATCTGAATCCGAAGTCCGTTTTGCCAAATTCAAACCCGGTAAGCTGTTTTTATTTGATTTATCACCCGATTCGATCCGTTTATCGTAATTAAGCTTCGTTTTTTTATATAATTTATGTTGATATGTATCTGAGGAATTATTGGAAGTTGAATTGAAGATCAAAGGCGTTCGAATGGAATTCTTATGGTCGATCAGTATTATACGGAAATCTAGGTAATATTTTATTACCTCTTTATGCTTTATGGAACATGTTAATATTGGTAATGCATGAATAAGATAATGTTGGTCACTTTTGTGGAGTTGGTTAATTTATACACTCGATATGAATCTGGTAGAAATTCGGTAACTGAATATGGATCGAATGACTAATATAAGAGATTGAAAGATTGTTAGAATTAAATTACAAGTTTGTGATTAGTGATAAAGAAATCAGACATGGATTTGTAAATTATATTTTATATCATCAAAGGTTAAATGTTAAAAGTACTTGGATGGGAAATTATGAGAATATTCTGGTAGGGTAAAATTATGAAAATACCCTTATGTTGTAGGATGACAAGAATTGTCACTGAAAGTTGGTTAATAACTCTGAAAAGACATATTGATCCGATATAACTACTGATGTGCATAAGAAATGTTAGTTTTATTTGGAAATTATGGATAACCGGTTTTAATCCTAGGAGAGTTTGTGAAGGATACTAGAAGTTTATTAAGGGAATCATTTCAAGATCAGAGAGTATTCAAGAAAGTAATTAATCATAGGATCTCTAAATTATATTATTTTCGTTAAGAGCTAATATCGAAATCATCTGGTTAAGAAATTATAGAAATGCCCTTGAAAGGTAAAATAGTCCGAGTTGACCCTGAATGAGAAAATACTTTGAGGATTTGTACTTAACTCGATTAAGTACGGATTTGATTGTTAAGATCCTGACTTAGTGCAGGAAAATTCCTGATATTCCGTTTGTAAAATCTGAGAAGGCACTTGACCCGAAAATATCCGAGTTATGAGTAAATACCTGAAGAACAATTAGTCGGGGGTGTTCTATTGTCAGAATTGTTCGAAATGACTGAAATAAATGATAAGATTAAATTTAATAGTAAGATCGGATGGAAAGAAATGATTGAAATACACTGCTGTAAAACGACCAAAATACCCCTGTAATGGAAATGACCCAATAATATCACCAAGCTAAAAAATGATTGGATATCCTCGAGTTCTAAAATGAATGGAATAAAACTGAACACTAAAATTACTAAAATACCCTTATGGCCTATAATAAGTAAATGTCTTGGATTAATTAAGGAATCCAAATAAGCATAGGTATTGGACTACCTTTAAAAGTTATGGAACACAACTTAAGTGAGCCGATCAACCTTAATGATATGTCAGTACCTGAACGGCATAGATATTACTTGAATGCGTGTTCGTCTACTCAAGTTTAGCTAAATGATAATTTTGGAAGTATTCAGTTCAGCTCAACTCTAGCTCGTATTCAGTAGTAAGAATTTTATATTTCTCAGACAAATCAACTACGAAGACCAAATTGAATTGAACGGAATTACAGTATGTATCCGAAATTCATAAACGTTTGGATTACCCTAGAAAACCCTAAAATAACTGGAATGAACTTAACTGCTAAATGAATCAAGTAACCTCAAGGACTAAGGATTAAGTGAGTGATTTGGATGAGTCTGGAAACGTTAATGAACATACATGATGTAATGTTCTTATGGATCATGAACTACAAATCAAGTACGCCAGCATTTCATGATATAGTGAAAGCGTGAACATGAAATAAAGACATTGGAAGATTTATTTAGCGATGATTCCGAAGATGATACATGGACTAGAAATTATGGTATTAAAGAGTAAATATCCTGGAAGAACGATGAATTGACCAATCGATAAGCATTAGTTCTAGGAACTATTCATCTAAGAGTTGTTCGATAATCAGATCAAACGACATATTTTGTACAAAGATTTTTGAACACTTTCATGATGCACATTAATCATATCGGAATTCTAAAGTATTAACCTTAAATGTCGGATTAAATTGGTTAGCAATCGATTCCCTTCAATAGGACCTCATTTTTAGAATCTGATCAAATTACATCAGTTTTATGTTATTCATTTTGATAACTACTAAGTGTCTCTGAGAAATACTTGGATATCCTAGTGTGTTCCACATGTACCACATGACGATTTTATATGTTTTTAAATGAGTTTCACCGAAACTATTGATTTGCTGGTTTATGAACCATGACAACATGTTACATGTTTTTCGATTACGGGTTTTACCGAAAAATATGAATTATTCCTGATTTATGACATCATGAAATCTACTGGTTTTATGAACTATGTTTACTTGAAATATGTTATCGGGTTTCCTATTTTCATTGGAAAATATGATCTTGATAAATCACGTACTGAATATTTTTATGAGACAATACCCGATGTTCTGAATACAATTTATTTTGATATCTGATTTACCAGATATTTTGATATGGTTTCTGGTTACAGTATTTTTGTACATGATTTCTAAATATGGATTAATTACCGTTACAGTTCCCCCAGGTCCCTTTGCTGTGTGCAAGGGTAGGCCTTACAGTTTCCCCAAGTCCATTTGCTGTGTGCAAGGGTAAGCCTTACAGTCCCCCAGGTCCCTTTGCTGTGTGCAAGGGTAAGCCTTATAGTTCCCCCAGGTCCCTTTGCTGTGTGCAAGGGTAAGCCTTACAGTTCCCCCAGGTCACTTTGCTATGTGCAAG